ATATGTTTATGTATATGTATTTGTATCTGTATAATACACACATCTGTAGGTATGTGTATATATATATATATATATATGTGTCCCTGGGCCCCGTCGAGGTGGGCAGGACGCGCCCAGGCTCGTCCGAGCATCGCCCAGGGGGGGGGTGCACGCGGGGGGCACCCCACCGCCGTCGATCGCCCCGGGGTGGTCGACGGCCGCCCCTGCGCGCAGCGCTCGCGCCCGAGCTGCCCCCCCGGGAGAGCTCGGGCGGGTGCGCTGCCAGCAGTGCGTCGGGCCTGTCTCTCGACAGGAGGAATGGCCAAAAACAGTTTGAAAGCACAGCCTGGGGGCCTTTTCTGTGTAGTGTGTTGGAGCAGTTGCGGAATATGTTTGCCTACCTCTTCCCCAATCAGAGCTTGCCTCTGTAGGGGTCCTGGCGGATTCATGTGGTTAGGTTAGGTTTGCCGCCGATTTTCGCTGCACGCCAGGGTGCCCGGGTGCCCAGGGGTGCCTGGGGGTGCCTGGGTGCCCAGGTGCCCCGGTGCCCAGGTGCCCGGGTGCCCGGGCGTGCCCGGGGGTGCCCAGGGGTGCCCTATAGCCAAATATCGCCCTATAGCCCTACAACTCTATAGCCCTATAGCTCTATAGCCCTATAGCCCTACAGCCCCCTAGCCATGTAGCCCTGATTGGGGTTTTTCTCCGGTGTCATTATTTGTTCGTCCAAAATCCGCTTGTAAGGGGACATGCCCGACCTACTGCTGCTAGCAGGTGCCTCCACTCGCCCAGGGGGGGGGTCCCCCGCGTGCAGGCCGCGGGGTGGGCCCCTCCCCGAGCAGCGGGTGCCTCCACGTCGTCGGATCCTTTCAGCAGCCTCTCGACGAGCCGTCTCGTGGCGGCCCGCCCGCTGCTGGTCGGGGGCCCCAGGACCGCCTTCCTCCCGTCCTGCTCCCCCCAGACCTCCTCGCGTTGCAACATTATCACGACGGGAAGTTCCTCGCCACTCTCGGCCTCCGGGGGCCCTCGCCGGGCCCTGGGTCCTTCTTTGGCGAAGAACCGGTCCCGGCGAAGGGGTCCAGACCTCCTGGGGGTCGACGTTGTAAAACAACGGCGTCGGGGGTTTGGGCCCTCCGTCAGCTTCAAGCTATCGGCTCGACGCTTACAGCGCTTCGCACACGGCATGCTCGGTCAGACAGATGTCGCCGCGCCGTTTGCTCCGACGCGCGGCCTTGCGCCTCGGGGAGGGCGCCGCGGCCACCAGGGCAGACGCCGCCTCGGGCGCATGCCGTGGGGTTTGCCGCGGTGCCGGCTTAGTCAATGTGGGCGCAGGGCGGAAGTTTTGCCGTGGCTTTTGCCGTGGTGTCGGCGTCGTCCATTTGGGCGCGTCGAGAACAACCGGTGCGGCGACCTACGCTGACTGTCGCGTACGTCCTGCACACTGGGTACTATGACTACCACGTGACGAGCATGTACACGCGAATCTCTGCATTGCACGCCAAGCACGCAGTCAGGAATACTACACAACCGTGGCGGCCGACTGCACCGCACAAGCTGGGCACCTGTAAGTAACGCGGCCGACGAAAGACGATGATAAGTGCGACATCGGCTTTATAGCCGATTCCGGAAACATTTGTAATCATACGCACATCTAGTTAAACCGAGAGGAGCGTGGTTGCGTGCATGGACACCCAAAGAACGGTTGGTAGCTGTCATCAGTTTTTTCCCGCAAGCTGACTGCGCTATTGACGACGGGCGCACAACAGTGGAACCGAGAGCGATTACATTTTGATCTTCATGCGCTTGTTCCGATGCTGTCGCAACGCTGAGGCGAATATCGCATTGGATATGGGGTCAGACCACAACGCCGTGCCCACACAGTGTTGTTTGCCACGACGCCCGACCAACAGCCGATGGAAAAGAACACAGTAGCATTCGAGAACATCACGAAGCACGATCACCTGTGAATGTGCTGAAATTGACGCCGACATGCGCACGACGACAGCTACGGACAGGATCGCGACTGCCAAACTGCCACGGCACGCAGAGAAACTCAACGAGCACATCCCTGCATACATACATCTACACATACATGTACACATACATATACATTCACATATGCACATGTGTATACGTATGCACATATATATATATAGACCTACAGCTGTACATTCGCATAATTTCACAAACACATAAACATATACATATACATATACATTTACATATACACATACCTATACACATACACATACACACATACATGCATAGACCTACACCTCTACATATACATATACGTAGACATATACCTGCACACAAACAGATACATATACATATACATGTGCAGATGTGTATTTATATACAGATGCGTAATAGTAGCAGCTGCGTCGTCGAGCAGGAGGGTGCCCGGCTAACCCAAACTACGCCGCCCGACCCAGACACGTTGGCAAGAGCTCATCCAGCAACGACAGAGCACACCCGACCAACACCCGCAAGTACGACAGCGCATCAGCAAACCAATCAGACGCTACGTGCAACAGAACACAGGTACAAGACGATCACACTTTGGTGCAGAACTGGACGATTACCGTGGGCTTAAAACGAATCACCGCGATCACATCGAGACACAGGTGCACGCTCATCACAGACTTCTTTCTGTAGCACGGATGGAAGAGTCCACACAAGTAGGGAATCCATTGCAAACGTTTTCCGCGATTTTCACGAGCAGGTATACCAGTCCGCCCAATCAACCGCGACACTGGACCACGACGACAGTATACCACCATTGACGATCCAAGAATTCGACGGAGCACTCTCAGCCTTCAAGGCGTGACAAAGCACCAGATCAGAGCGGAATCCGAGCAGAACTTTTGAAGCATGCGCAGCCAGAGCTGACGTTTGCTATCCTCCTGCTCTGCAGCACCATTCTCGAAGCTGGCGACATATGCTCATCACAGTAGTTCTGTAAGCAGGGGACTTCGTAGAGTCTTAGAACTACAGGCCTTGTTACTCTTCAGCAAACTTCTACGCACCATACTGCAACAACAGTTAGACACGCAACAACCTCTCGATCAAGCCCGCTTCCCCACTCGACGATCCACACAAAACCAGTTTGAAGTTCCACCTCCTCTGTGAAAGGGCACGCAAGCTAAATCAGTTTCTTTGGATAGCGGCATTCGGCTTCAAGAAAGCGTTCGACACTGTCGAGCTCGGGAGCATTTGGGTGGCACTTGGGAGCCAAGGAAGTCGTCGCAGCAAGCGACATCCCACTTCTCAAGCGGCACTACTATGCCAAACAGCGACCGTGCAGACCGACACGACCGACCGATCACTCGATTCCATGAGAGGCGCGAAACATGTGAAGATGTTGCAGGCCATGTCGGTGGCGGCGCCTACATCTCTCCACCTCTAACCTCAGTGTGCGCTGCCATCAAGGCGCACGCGTCTCTGGGGGGCATCCCGACTCCTACTGCGGGCTCAGTCCCCCAGGGGGTGGGCACATGCAAATAGACTTTTCAGGCACACTCATCCCTTCCACAAGACAGGGTGACCCCCTCAGCTCATTGCTCTGTAATGCGCTCCAGGAGACTACACCATGAGACCGCTGGCCGCCACGTGGCAGCAGAGCCAGCCAAGGAGTCCAACTCGGTCTTCCACCTGACCACTGCCTCACGAAAACCCTCGCTTCGCCGCTTGGCGCTCTCCCCGTGAGCCGAACCCATCCCGCGCCACATCGCAGTGCTGAAGGTCACGGCCGCGGCAGAAGAGAAACGCGGATCTCGCATGCACCCAGCAAGACGAAGATTTTGTCATTCTTGTGTTTGAATTCGTAGAACAAAAAACGGCCTACATACATTTTTGGCGGTCCGCGCGGATTTCTTGGACCCGCGCTGGGCCCCTCCAGCGGCGCCTCCAGCGCCGCCCCTGGCGCGCTCCGCGCGCCAGATCCAAGAAATCCGCGCGGAGTGCCAAAGTTTTATGCTCATGCAGTTTTTTTGTTCTTCCATGGGCGAGCGCGGAGGGTGGTTGCGGCAGCGGAGGGAGAGAATAGATGACGTAGAGATCGAGATATGAGTCCATGTGCAGTGAATGTGTCGAACACTTGGGTCAGCGCAGCAGCTTCGACGTCGCAGTGTCCATTGAGGTGGAGAACCGCCTGAAGGCAAGCTGGGCAGCGTCCGCTATTCACGGAAGAACTCAACAGGGAAGCGCCACCCGTTGAAACAACGGTTCCGGATTCCGGTCGGCATTGTTCGGCCGGCGATTTTCTATGGAGCATGCGCGTAGACACCGACCGAGCCTCTACGACAGCAGCTACAATGCACACGGCGGCGCATGTTGCACATGGCTTTGGGCACCCCTCACCTAGACACCAGACCGAGGCCACGACCGACCGACCTGCCAGAGGCGTATCCGACACCAGCTCCGGGATCTCACGAAGGCAAGTCCGTTGGAGACGGTGTCAGGCAGCCACCCGCCGACCGCCCACTCAGGCAGTGAAGCCAGCGACGCAGAGTGCGCTGCAACGGGCGACAACACTGACAACCTGCCAGGGCAACCACCACAGAAATGGCCCGACGTGTTCTTCAGTGGCTCCCGAGCTTCCACAACAGGCAATCACGGATAAATGCTCCAATGCCGGAAATTTGAGCATCGACGTTACCAGTGGCAGGCTATTCTTCAATCCCATGACTTGTTGAGGGTCGGGGACGACGTCGGGATGGTGTGGTGTATATATTTTCCCGTTTCTTGGAGAAGCAACGAAACACTTACACACCAGGGTCCCGTACACAACAGGATCCGTTTTCCGGTGCAAGTTTCAGTGCATGGCCGGATAATTACTCTGGCGAAGGACCCAACCAGATGCAGCTGTGCGAACCGCAATTGTAAATACCGTATTCAGTTGAGCTCCCTGTGGGGCCGCGAAACGTGTGAGGAGTGTGCCGACATGAGTGAGGCGGACGCATGCGGACGGTGGCTGGGGCATTCGGTGGAGCTCCTTCTGGGGCCACGATACGTGTGAATGGTGTGCCGAAATTGGTGTGACGGACGCATGCGGTCGGCGGCATTGTGGCATTCGGTGGAGCTCGCTATGGGGCCACGAAACGTGTGGGGCGTGCGCCGACATGGGTGTGGCAGACGCATGCGGGCGGTGGGACCTTCGGTGGAGTTTTTCGTTATGGGGTCACGAAACGTGTGAGGGGTGTGCCGCAATGGGTGTGCGTGACACATGCGGGCTGCGCTACTGGGACCTTCGGTGGAGCTCCCCATGGGGCCACGAAACGTGTGAGGGGTGTCTCCCTATGGGGCCACGGAACGTGTGAGGGATGTGCCGAAATGGGTGTGCGTGACGCATGCGGGTTGCGCCACTGGGGCGGTCGGTGGAGCTCCCTATGGGGCCACGGAACGTGTGAGGGGTGTGCCGAAATGGGTGTGCGTGACGCACGCGGGCTGCGCCACTGTGACTTTCGGTGGTGCCCCCTATGGGGCCACGAAGCGTGTGAGGGATGTGCCGAAATGGGTGTGCGTGACGCATGCGGGCTGCGTCACTGGGAGCTTCGGTGGAGCTCCCTATGGGGCCACGAAGCGTGTGAGGGGTGTGCGCCGCAACGGGTGTGCGTGACGCATGCGGGCTGCGCCACTGGGGTGGTCGGTGGAGCTCCCTACGAGGCCACGAAACGTGTGAGGGGTGTGCCGAAATGGGTGTGCGTGACGCATGCGGGCTGCGCCACTGGGACCTTCGGTGGAGCTTCGAATGGGACCACGAAGCGTGTGAGGGGTGTGCGCCGCAACGGGTGTGCGTGACGCATGCGGGCTGCGCCATTGGAGTGGTCGGTGGAGCCCCCTATGGGGCCACGAAACGTGTGAGGTGTGTGTGTGTGTGTATGTGTGTGTGTGCGTGACGCATGCGGGCTGCGCCACTGGGACCTTCGGTGGAGCTCCCTATGGGACCACGATCATCGTGAGGGGTGCACCTACGATGATGCTGATGATGATGAGGATGATGATGATGCTGCTGTTGATGATGAGGATGATGATGTTGATGATGATGAGGATGCTGATGATGATGATGATGCGATGATGATACTCGTGGTGACGATAACGACGATGATGACGACGATGATGGTGATGCTCACGATGATGATGATGATGATGATGATGATGATGATGATGATGATGTTGATGATGTTGATGATGATGATGCTGATGATGATGATGATGATAGCTGATGATGATGATGAGGATGAGGATGAGGATGATGATGATGCTGCTGATGATGATGATGATGAGATGATGATGAGGATGATGATGATGATTGATGATGATGATGATGATGATGACGATGATGATGATGATGATGATGATGATGATGATGCTGATGATGAAGATTACGATATCGATGATGGGTGATGATGATTGCTGCTGATGATGATAATACTAATGATACTGATGATGATGCTGCTGATGATGATGATGATGAGGAGGAGGAGGAGGAGGATGAGGATGGGATGAGGATGAGGATGAGGATGAGGATGGAGGAGAAGAGGAGGGAGCGGGAGGAGGAGGAGGAGGAGGAGGAGGAGGAGGAGGAGGAGGAGGAGTGACGCGGGGCGCTGTCTCTTCGAAACGAGGACCCAACACCACAGGATGGTTGCGAACATACTTCGGTGGATTGAGTTCGGTTTCCTACATCATTGTTTTTTTGTCCGAGGCAGACATCCCGAGATGGTGACTCATGATCCCAGCCGTCTCCACGAGGCCATGGCATGGTTGCACCCGCTCCGCCCCTGCGGAGCCCGTGCGACTGCCCTCTATGAGCGTTCCGTTGCTTTCCGTTCTTCGTTCTTTCCCCTTCGCCCTCGTCTTCATTGTTTCCCGCCTTCCCCTCCTCCTCCTCCTCCGCTCTCCCTCCTCCTCCTCCTCCTCCACCTCGTCCTCGTCCTCCTCCTCCTCCTCCTCCTCCTACCTCTTCGTCCTTCTCCCTCCCCTTCCTTCTCCTCCTGGTCTCCCTCCGCCCTCCTTCATCCACCCTCCCTCCTCCTCCTCCTCCTCCTCCTCCTCCTCCTCCTCCTCCTCCTCATCCTCCTCCTCCGCTTTTCCTCCTCCTCCTCCGTGCTCCACCTCCTCTTCCTCTCTCCTCCTCCGCATCCTTCTAACTCTCCCCCCTTCGCCTGGCGCGCAGTCCTGCGCACGGAAAAGCGCGCACAGGCGGGCTGGGGAGGGACATGATCGACGGCGAGAAGGCTGTCAGGCATGTCGAGGGCGTGCACAATGATGAGGCGACTTCCTTTTGGCCTGCCTCTCCTCCTTGTCATCCTCATCCTCCTTCCTGCTTTGCCTCCTCTTATCGAAAAGGAGCAATCGCCATAAACATAAACTGTTGGCGCTCCGCGCGCATTTTTTTGATCCGCGCTGGGCCACCCTGGCGGCGCTTCCGGCGCCGCCCCTGGTGCGCTCCGCGCGCCAGAGAGAGGGGTCCAGCTCAGATTCAAGAAATCCGCGCGGAGTGCCAAAAGTTTATGTGCATGCAGTTTGTTCTTCTTCTAATCCTCCTTCCTGCTTTTCCTCTTCTTACTCCTTCCGCTACCTGGGTTCGCGTGAGACGGTACTCCGCTGAACCCCCCAGGAACTCATACGAGTGGCGGCATTTCGCAGGTCGCAGCCCCCAGGGAGAGCGACGCCTTATCCATGTCTGCATCAGACACCACCCCGCTGGATCCCCTAGGATCCCCCAAGATGGCGAACTTATACGGCGAGGTATCACGCACGTGTCGACAGTGTAGCAGTTCGCAACCCCCAGGGGGCGGCGAGGTCGAATTTGGGTCCACGTAATACGCCAGTCTGTTGGAGCTCCCCGCAGCACACGAGAATGGCTGCAGTTTTTCGCAGTTCGCTGTCCCCAGGGAAAGGGAGGTCCACGGAGTTCGCAGCCACCCAGGGAGGCGAGGCAATAGGCAGGACAGCAGGCAGGTGAGACTGCCAGGAAGAGGGAGGGAGCAGGAGGAGTAGGAGCAGGAGTAGGAGCAGGAGCAGGAGGAGGAGGAGGGAGGAGGAGGAGGAGGAGGAGGGCAGGAGGAGGAGAGGAGGAGGAGGAGGAGGAGGAGGAGGAGGAGGAGGAGGAGAGGAGGAGGAGGAGGAGGCGGAGGAGGAGGGAGGAGGAGGGAGGAGGAGGAGGAGGAGGGAGGAGAGGAGAGGAGGAGGAGGAGGAGGAGAGGAGGAGGAGGAGGAGGAGGAGGAGAGGAGGAGGGAGGAGGAGGAGGAGGAGGAGGAGGAGGAGAGGAGGAGGAGTGAGGCGGAGGAGGAGGAGGAGGAGGAGGAGGAGGAGGAGGAGGGAGGAGGAGGAGGAGGAGGAGGAGGAGGAGGGAGGAGGAGGGAGGAGGAGGAGGAGGAAGGAGGAGGAGGAGGGGGAAAGGGAGGGAGGAGGAAGGAAGAGGGGACGGATGCCGCAGCACTCCAGCCGAAGCGAGAACCCAACGCGTCAGGGCCGGCACAGAAAGAACACTTCGCCGCCGGAGCTTTTCCGTCTTCCTCTCCGCTCCTCGCTCTCCGGCCGACTCTTGAGAGCTCCAGTTCCCCCCGCGCTGTCCTCTCAGCCAGCGGCTTGGATCCGCCACGTGATGCGAATCGGAGGAGGACGATGTTTTGATTATTTTGGTTCATGCCCATTTTGGAGTATTTTTTGGCCATCCTGTTTTTTTCGTCCGAAGCCCCGCTGTAGGAGGACACGCCAGATCCAGCTCCAGTCCCCCCCTGGTGCTGCCCTCTCAGGGCTGGGTGGCGGGAGCCTGTTCGGACCGACGTCGCGCCGGCCTGCCATGCCTGGCCCCTGGGCCTCGCTCACCCCCCCTCTGGTGCCCCATGACGCTCGGCAGCGGCAGAGGGGCACGGTCAAGCCTCTGCATCGGGGCCTGAGCGACGGGGGTCAGTGCAAACGGTGGTCGGCCAGGGCACCAGATCCTGCAGGATCCTGCGAAGACCCTCTCTGGCTGATCCGGGTCAGCGAGCCGCTCGTGGCCGCGAGGCGGCCGCGCCTGTTGGCTGACCCAGGCTTGCGAAGACCTGCGTTGCAGCTTTTTTCCCGCATTGCAGTTTTTTGGTTGCCTGCTGACCCGGGTCTGGATTTGCCCGGGTCAGAAGATCCCCGACTGCAAGGATCAGATCCAAAGACAGTAAAAAACAGTCAGGGGACGATTTCTGGTGTTTTTTGTTGTTGCCATTTTGGGGCATTTTTTTGCCCAAAATCCCCCTGTAGGGGGACATGCCCGACCTAGGGATACGGTGGGGGCGTTGGTTCAGGAAGGCGCCCACGAGGCCGCAGACCATGGAGGACTCCTCACCTGGTGAGGGGACGGCGGCGATATCCGTGGCCAAGCTTCGGTTGGAGTGCCACCGGCCTCCAGGCCCTGGATTCCTGATCTAAGGTTAAGTCGGGCCTGTCCCCCTACATGGAGATTTTCGACGAAAAATAAGAAATACCCCAAACATAATAAAAAAAGATAGTCTAAAAATAGTCTGGGGACTATTTTTGAGCATTTTTTGACCTTTTTGGAATATTTTCTGGGTATTGTTTTTGCTCGAAAATCTCCCTGCAGGGGGACAGGCCCGACTTAAGCCTGGATTCCTGATCTGAGGGTTCATTTTGTCCAGTGCCCCTACACCGTGACACGGTGGCCCTCCAGGCCCACAGGCCGATCGGGACACTGCGGGAGCCCTCGGCGTGAGTTCCGACGCAGAGGGGTGCCTCTTTTTTGCCAGGAGGAAAAAACACGCAGACACAATGAATCGTCGTCTCCCAGCAAAATATGGGAAAACATGGGAAGGGGGGGAGGAAGACAAATGCCCATAAAAGATCTGAAGATGTAGGGAATCATTTTATCGGTGTGCATTTCTTTGTGCGTCCCAGGGCCCCTTCATTTTGTTGCGTCTGCGGTGGCAGGTCCGTGGCCCCCCGCCCGGGCCCCGCGCTGCCCCGCGGGCTCCGTTTCGACATCCGCTGGAGATCCGAGACTCGACGTCGGCTCCGGCC